ACTCCGAGGCCTTGATCCACGCCCCGGCACCCCTCGTAGAGCCCCAGCCTGTTTCTCTCGCCCGGCCCTCCACTCCCTCTACCCGCTCAAGCTCGAGTGCTGCGGCCTGTCCCACTTCCCGTAGGAGCGCTCCTTTCGAAGCCCAAAGGCAGAGCCTGTGTTCTGTGCTGATAGTCCCATGCGTCCCCACCACCCCGGGGGGAGTGGGTCCTGACCTACTAACAGTAAAGGCGGCGACCCAGTGAGTAGTCCCGTTGTTGGATCTCGATACTTGGAGGCCCCGGTCTCCTCGATGTCTCCAGTCCTTACGACCCTGCTTACTGCGCCAGTGGTGGGCAATTGGGAGCAAGAATGAGGAAAAGGCAGTAAAAACAGAAACCCGGTCGGGCCATTTCCCTGTCCAAAGTCCTCCCATACTTGCTCCCCATTCCACCTCTTCTCCGACACTAGCTTCTCTCTTCCTGTCTAACGTGGGTCTTTGCATGTTGTTTCCACTGCCTAAGGCACAATTCCCTCCCTCAGTGTATAAGGTGGTCACACTCCCACCCCTATCAAAACGCTATCACATTGCTCTGTTGTGGACTTTTTAGGACTTCAACTCGTTTATCTTATTTCAGATGCTTCGGAGAGCAGACATGACTGGTGGAGGGTGGGAGTGAGGTACCCTGTGGCCTTAAGAGCTAATTTGACTAGCCGGCCCAGTCAGCCCTGACCTGTTGAGGTCTTTTAAGCCCTATGGAGGTGGGGGAGGGAACCGAGGGGAGAGGCCCTAAGGGTCCTGGGGACCTCCCATTCCTGTCCAGGGGCTGGTCCAGACACATTCCCCTCTGGAAGCCTGGGTCAAGGGAGCAGGCCAGTGTAAGCAGCTGGCCTCTTTGGACATAGTGGACACAGGCATAGTGGGCCTTGGAGAAGAGATACTGAGAGGTTCAAGCGAGGAGTGGGGCAGCAAGAACTAGACATCCAGACCCTACCTTCTTGGCACTGGCTCTGTGTTCTTCTCCCTGGTGTCTGGTTCTGTAGTTCAAGACCTCCTGCCACACTTTCTCCTTCTTGAAACCCTCCTAGCACTGAGCAGAAGTAGCTCTCTTAGGGGCTACCCTGGCTGGAGCTACACGAAGGATGGCGCAGTTGCATGGGGTCCAGGGCTGGGCAGGAGTGGTGACAGGTGTGGCCAAGAGGACCACATTGCGCAGAACACCCCCTCCCATCAAGCCCCCTATCTCCTGGGACCTCCTGGGACCTTTACCACAGAGCCAATGGCTGCCAACAGATCCAGAGCCTGGTGGCTACCTGAGGCCCCAGTACTGGCTCCGGGATGTCTGACATCACAATGGTCAGCCATTAGCTGCTGCCAGTGGCACAGGAGCTGGACCCAAGGTTTGGCACACCTGCTGCCCAATCTTGGCTTAAGTCACATGAGAACAGGGGAAGACCTGTGGTAAGAGTCAATTGTAGCTATTTACATAAAGGGTGCTGGGACATCAGGCCAGTACAGACCCCCGAGGGACCCATTTAAGGTTTTGTGTGTGGGTGCTAGGGTAGGGGACTGAGGACCAAGCCAAGAGGCTGTGGTGACTTTAGAGTCCATGAGGTGGGGGCACGGGCAAAGAGGATGTCGCTGGCCCTGGGGGAGGTCACAGCACGTGTGAGGTTTCTTGAGGGTTGGGGGGGGCTGGCTGCCTATCCCTGGCAAGAATGACAGCAGCACTGTTTACACTTAACAAAAAGGTTTGTATTAGAACATTTACACTCAGGGAAGAAAGAGGTATCTGCATCATCAAATGTGGAATGTTGAAGAAATAGTTAAAATAAATAAAGACTCCAAGCACGGCTGGGGCTGGCTCAGGCTGGGACTCACAGAGGCCTCTGCACATCAGCTCCAGGCTGCAGGGGCCACCGCCTGGCCATACTGGCCTCCTCCCTGGCGCAGCACAGCTGTGCCTGGGACATAGAGAGTCTCTCAGGTGCTGGTGCAGCCAGCAAGCTCACTCCCCACTTTCCTCACTTAATTCTGTGACAATGTCTATTAGGCTCTGGAGCCCGAAGATATAGCCAGCATCCTGGCCCTCGTGTACCACACTGTCCTCGCCATACAGCCTGCAGGTGGTGTGTGCGAAATCGATCATGCGCACGTCCACTGAGCTTGTGCCGATGGGCTTATAGGCATAGGCACCAGCAGACTCGTCAGCTGACTCCTCTGACAGGTCCTCCAAGTCCTCAGCATCTGAGTCCAGGGCCACCTCAGGCCGCTCCTTGCCATCATAGATGACCAGCAGGGAGCTTGAGTAGAAGCGGTAGGATTCTTGTCGCTCCAACACGGCCTTGAGCTCAGTCAGCTTCCTAAGTACAGGGCCCAGGAGCTCCCGGCGCAGGTACCGCCCATTGTGGAAGAACTGGAAAAGTGCCTCCTTGAAGCCCTGCACTGACAGCTTCCGTCCATGGTATTTGTTCATGAACATGAGCTGCCCACTGCCTGCCTGGTATACCTGTGGGAGGGAGACCAGCAGGTCAGGTAAAACAGTCATCTATCTCAGAGCCTGGTCCTGGGGACTGCAATGATATGACAGCCTTGGATCAGATTCTTTAACTTGTTAAGTAAGAATACCAGTCACACAGGACTGTCCTCTCCAGTCAACACCCACTCGGGATATAGCCCTCTGACCTGGGTTCCATCCCCAGGCCCCCAGCTCAGCATATGGGTTGGTGGAAAGGGCCTAACCCTCTTGCCTTTCTCCCCTTCCTGTCCACAACCTCAGGACTCAGCCAGTCAGGCCAGTCCCAGAGGGGATCACCCAGGCATGCATGCTTTCTTTTCTAATCAGAAAGTGACAGATTCAGTCAAATCTGTAATCTTTTGAGAAAATGGGACTATGCCAGGGTGGGGGAATGGCAGTTCCTGTATGCCCTGGCCAGCCCACACCATGCCTAACACTCCTCTCACCTGCATGCCACACACACGCACACCGATGACCGCAGATGTGCTCTGCTGGCATTTGCGGATCTGGTTGGCCGCCTTCTCCTCTGAAGCATCGTCACCATGCTGGCGCGTACCCATCTTGAGGTCCAGAACACAAGGCACCTCATAACGGGAAGTCAGGTTTTCCAGTAAGATAAATTCTGAATAGTTAAGGACAATACCCCTCTAAAGAAAAGGTGCTGCTCCATGGGGCCTGGGCACTCCCCGGGCACAATGCCTGCACAAAGTGCTGCAGAGATCCTGTTACCTCCCATGCAGGGAGCCCAGGTCTGACAAGAAGGCTAAAAGGCCCCTTCAGTTCTTGTCAGAGAACTGTCCTGAAAACAGCCTGGGTCTGGACTCAACACAGTCCTGGTCTCCCCCAGCCTCGGTGACACATATACCATTTCCTGAACTCAGCAAGATGTGGGACCAAGGTCCAAAAACATACTGTCCTAAATCACAACAGAACATCAAGTAAGTTTGGTAAATCCTCATCTTAAATATGAACTAGAAATATCAGTATGAACTTACGAAGTTTTCTCTTTAAAATAAATATGTATTTCCCAGCTGTGGGCAATGAAAAGGTCTAGAAACCACAGCCAGATGTATGAGCTCCCCTAGTGCCCAGACCAGTGCTCCTAGAGCAGGGACTGGTGACCCATGACCTACTGCCCATTGCTCTACAGCCTGTAAGCTAGGAATGACTGGTTCTTACACTTTTAGGAGGTCAAAAAATATATAATAACTTCATGACACATGAAAATTAAGTGAAATTCAAATTTTTCAGTGACCATACATAGAGTTTTATTGAATACAGCCATGTTTGTTTACTTACATTACTGTCTATGGCTGTTTTCATGCTATAAAAGCAGAGTTGTGATACAGTGCATGGCCTGCAAAGCCTAAAATATTTACTATCTGGCCCTCTACTGAGAAAGCTTGCAACTTCTGCCTTAAAGAAATAATGAATTCACATATGGAGTAGGACACATACATGACCCTGTACCATCTCTTCATACCAGGGAGTAAGACAGCCATCACAAACTACTGTCATTGTGTCAAAATGACTCAGAAGCCTATTTTAAAAGGCTCTCCTGGCCAAACATGGGACAATTTAAGCATCAGTAAAGATAACTATAATGGACTAAAACACATCAAATGTTTAAATTCATGGATTCATAATAATGCTGAAAAACTCGGTGGTCACCTTTGAAGGATGTTAAAAAACCATCTCATCATTCCAAATATCTAGTAAATAAAGGAAAATAAACATTTAACTTGCCTTTCCTATATAAACTATACCTCAGAATAAGCACAGTTAGTAAGAAGTTTCTCTTCACAGGTTTCCAGCTAATAAATGAAGAAGGAATGAAAAAATTAGAAAATCACCTAATGAAAAAAATGGATTTAAGGCAAAGGCAATACAAAAGAGAAAGACAACTAAACACTGTGCTTCCTCACGGACAGGTACAATACCATCTCTGAGGGATTCTTGCCCCCACCCCCCTAAAACTGGACCTGAATCTGATCAAGCCTGTAGATCAAATTATCAACTTAATGGAAACAGAGAGGAAAGAGTAACATGTAAGAGACACCGCAGAATGTAATCAGTAAATCCAGATGGTGGGAAACTCTAGAAGATCCAGTTTTTTTTGACAAGAAATTTCCAAGAAGAGAAAAAAGAAAGAGTATTTTAAAAGACTTAACAACGTTTCAACCAAATGCAGTTTGTGAACCTCGTTTGGATCCCCATTCAAGCAAATAATCAAAAACAGTTACGAGACAATTAGGAAAATGGGGACACATACTAGATATTTGATAGTAAGGAATTACCATCCACTTTTCAAGGTGTAATAATGGTATTAATGTTTTAAAAATGTCTATCATTTCGAGATACATGTTGAGGTGTATACAGATGAAATGATCTGACACTTGTATCAGAAGAGTTCAGCTGGGCGAAGCTGGGCGATGCTGGGTGTATAGAGACAGTCATGGCAGGAGGCTGATGTGAGTAGGTTAACTCAGTCTGGGTGACTGGTACTTAGAGGTTCAATGCATCATTCTATCTGGTACATATAGGTTCCCTGATTCTCAAAAAAGAAAGGATCATATATTTTCTTCATGTGCCAGTCTGGTCAGTCCTCCCCGTCAGCCGCAGACCTTGGCAGTTAGGCTATTTGGGAGTTTCCGCAGGAGTTTGAAAATATGAGCCAGCAACTTGCACTCTAGGCTAAAGCCTCCCTGATGCAGGTAGGTCCCGGTCCCTCCATGAGGTACCTCTCACCCCTAGGAACCCATCAAACCCCATTCCCACCACCTGCACTCCCACACCAGCTCTCAGCCCCAAGGGAAGTGATAGTTGCCCGTAGTTACCATGTAGGGTGTCCTGGCACAACCATAACTAAAAAAATCCAAATTCTCTCTACAAGTTCCAAGGGTCTCCTCACTTGCTTTTCCCTCCCCTCCAAGGCAGAGATGCCCTGTGAACAAAGGATACTGTACTGGTTCCGATGTTTTGCATTCTCCTTCATTCTCTGTAACTGTTGCTGGTGACACTTCATGCTCCATGGGTTATAGTGTTTAAACTGGGAACTTACGTTCCCCTTTTTCTCTACACTGTAGTACAAGACTTCAGATTTCTTCAGCCACTCAAATTCTTCTTCTAATTTATGGCTATAAAGAGACAAGAAGCCAGTAAATCATACTGTCTTAATTCAAATCAGGGCCAAAAAAGCATCAAGGAACTTTCTGGACTGATAGGAAGTTTGATATCTTGATGTTGGGTGGTTGTTTCAGCGTACACGTTAACAATGCAAATGGGTACATTTTACTGTATGTATATTATACCTAAAGACAGTTGATTTAAAAATATTAAGGGGCCAGTTCACTGTTTTTCTACAATAAGGAAACCCTAAGGTGCAAGAACAGCCTCAGCCTCCACCCTGCATCCTGCAAGGCAGCCTTCACTGCCCTCTTCTTCTAGGCAGTACCACCCCCCGACTTCTGGTACATTCAGATTCCCTGACTCAGAATGCTGGAGACTGGGACAATCTGAACTGAAGTTCCATAAGAATAAGTCGACCTACTTAGCTACATTTTATATGTATATATAACTTTGTGTTTTTACAAGCTCTGCCAAGGTGCAGTACTTGGTGGGCTCTGCTTAGGTGGATCCCCAAGATTTGGGGATGCGCAACTGACCATTTTGTCTCCCACTATCAGTGAACAACCTGGGGTGAGCAGATGGCTCCTGTCTGGGTCACTGCTCCATCTCTAGGATGCAGCATAGTGCCTGGCACAGGGCATTTGCAGAAGGAATGAGTGACTGAAACTCTTTCACAGCTGCCACTACAGTTGTCTTACCCAAAGTGGCATGATCTAACTCAGAGTCAATTAAAGAGAAGCTGGGCATGCCATGCGGGAACTGACCACAGACTGACAAGGCACCTAAGTCCATCGTGTGAGTCCTTAGCCCCAGGGGACTGCGCTGTGACTGAGATCCCTCCCCACCCTCCCACAGAGTCCAGTGCCCTCTCCGTCTATACCCACCTCTTCATCTTCTCTTCTTTCCGATGTTGCCGCACCCAGTCCTTGGGGGTCTTTTCTGTTTCTAGGACGTGGTGTTTTTTGTTCGTCCACCTTAGGAGCTTACTTTTTGGTTCACAGTCTGAATTATCTACACTGTCCACATTTCCATGGTCCCCTTTTAATGGATATGCTATTAAACACAAGTTCCTGTCTTCATCTTCTTCAAAGCGCACAGATACCACACCTGGAAGGAGGGTGAGGAACAAAGAGGACTTTTAATTCCATAGGAAGATGTGTTATAAATAACATGATTGTAACAGTTGTTTTTTTCTTACCCTGTTCCTTAGTCTCTATGTTGCCAGAGGCCCAAACTCATCTGCAAACCTAACAAATATCAAAACAGCTAGAAAAAATGACACCATACAAGACAAGTGATTAGGGAGCAAACATGGCTGAGAGTCTTCCTCAACAAGGCAAGAGCCAAAGAATTACAAGACACATTTTTCCATCATTGAAAATGTTTATTAATTTTTATGTAATTCTTCTCATCCTAAGAGAGATGTAAAAACATTTGCTCTTTATATCTTGTGGGAATTTTTAATGCCCTAAACAGAAACTCCAATGGCCCTGAGGCTTGCTTTAAAGCAGAGCCTGAACACAGGGGAACACAGATTTGCCTGAGGGGTATGAAGCATCCAAGGGTAAGGGAAGACTGGGCAAGCAAAACAAAATAAAGGAGCAAACAAAACAAACCACACAGCACAAGACACCCTAGCAAAGGCTTCTTGCAGCACCCCCACATGGTGGGCACCCCAAGCCTTTTGTCCTTCTTAAATATATTGCTTTATTGGTCTTTGCAATCTCATGTCACAAAAGAACAAAATGAACACAAGGCAAATAGGGTTAGGCTGGGAGCACAGACGCGCAGTAGCCTTGAAAGCAGCTCTCCCCGAGTCTCTAGAACCTGCCATGTGTAATTAGACAGTCTTTGAGGAGGGGGCTGTCAGATGGGATCATTTCAGCAGGTGCCGACGAATGCCTTACAACCGACTGGCTGAACACCTTTCCTCCCAGGCCTCTCTGGCCTGGGTTCACTCAATTTGCTCAGTCCTTGCTGCCCGCCCGCTCGCTTGCTTGCTGCAGGGGAATGCGTGCTCAGAGAGACGACACTTCTGAGGTAGTCCCCAGCTCTGGGCGCAGAGGAGCCAGGGTGGGGAATTCAGGGGACCACACTTCCCTGTGGCCATGGGGAAAGAACCAGGGGAAAAATGGGGCAGGGATGGCCAGCTAACAAGGGACCTTTGGCTTTGTCCTGGAAAAAACAACAAAGAAGGACCAAGTGAGGGCCCCCAACTCCCCCACCCCCACCACAACACACATGCATATTCAGAGTACAGAGAGGCGCCCGGTACATTCTGTCTTCGAAGAGCATGTCTCAACAGTCCCAGAAGAACCCAAGTTGTTCAAGAGTCCTTTGTATAATCAGGCAATGCAACTTTAATTTCCTTAGTAGATTATTCCTTGGTTTACAAAGGATTCCCCACCCCCCCCAGGAAAGACCACACCATGCTGGTGGCTGTTGATGCCCCCCCAATTGCATTATAAAAAGGAAGAGTCACCATATATGAATCAAAGTGTTGCCGTAATACAGCAATTTCGGGACATTCCGTAATAGCAAAGGGCTTCAGCTAATCAGTAGAGGCCTCCCACTCCTGCATTCCATCTGACTCAACCCTGCTCCCAGCCTACCTAATCACCAGGGCTTCTGGTTTTCCCCAGGACAAAAAGCAGGCAGCAAGTATTCTGGGTAAAATCCTCCCAAAGTCTTCCCCCGCTGTCCCCTCACGGGAACTATGGGTTACCATTATCAAGAGACACCTGAACATAAAACACAACTACACTTCCACCAAAATAAACTCAAAACAAATCCACAAAACAAAACAAAATCGAGCAATCTTACCAGGGCTTGAAAACTGAGGGTGTGAGGTGCTGGGCGGAGGGCCAAAAGGAGGAGGAGGAGGGAAAACACGGAGTGAGTGGGAGGGGGTGAGGGCTCCCGGGATGGCTGCCCCGGCCTCGCATGTCCTCGCCAGGCGCTCGAGACCCCTAAGGCACCTGGGGGCTCACCTTTGTACTGGGGAGTGAATTTGCGCATCTCGGCTGGGAGGGTCTCGTAGAACTGGTGCTCTCTTGGGACCAGGGGCTTGCACAGGGTCGTCTCGTTGAAACGGAGCACGCACGAGTGCCCCCCAACCTGGTGGACAAAGGGCTCCAGCAGGACGCCCTTGGCGCGGGGCTCCACGTCCATGGCCCTGAAGGCTGGGCTCATTCTCCAAGTGCAGGCAGCAGGAAGAAGGGGGAGGCGGCGGGGTCCAGCGGCCAGCGCGTCCTCCGTCTGTCGTCAGTCTGCCCGTCCGTCCGTCTGGCCTCAGCTTCTCGGCTGTGCGGGCCAGAATGCTCTGCCGGAAGCGAACAGTGACAAAGAGTTGGAAGCGCCCTGGGAATTGCCTTGGAGGCGCTAGTCCTCCTCCTCCAGCCGAAAGACAAAACAGCCTGAGCTTACGCGCGGCCCCGCCCACACCGCCCACTCCCGCCTCGCCTCCTGCTGCAGAAACAAACAGCCAGAGAGCTCTTGCCGGGCGGGACCGGATGTCGACAGGCAGTGATGCCTCCGGAGACCCCTAAACAGCCCCAATCACCCCGCCCCGCGTTGGAAAGCCACTACCGCGAAGCCACGACAAGGTAAAATCACAATTTCAAGCCTAATATTGGGATTAATTCTTACCATTTTCTAATAAAATTGTTAAACTTAACGTAACTGACGTCCAAGTCTCTCCGTTAATTATATTTATTTTAATACTTTATTTTTTTAGAGCAGTTTTAGGTTCACAGAAAAATTGAGAAAACAGAGATTTCTCATATAACCATCTGCCCCAAAGATACATAGATATAATATAGGCTCCTCCATTATCAGTATCCCCCATCAGAGTGCACTTGTTACATATGATGATGAACCTATACTGATACAGCATCAAAGTTCAAATTAGGGTTCACTCTTGGTCATTAGTTGTTTTTATAAAACGCATTTGAAGGGAAACCTGCTTACGCATCATCTAGTAAGATTTACTCCCCCACTTTGTCTACGCACACTGCCCTGCTTAAGGCCAAAGACAAGCCCCATTAACCTTATTAGCAGAGGAGCTTGGGCCTAGCTTTAATGATTAACGTCTGCATCTAAAAACAACCGATCAAGGCTGGCTAACTCCTTTTAAAAAGATACACAGTGTTCTAGGTCACTGACTATTTTTATCGGTTCTATCTTGATCTTCAAAAGCTGGGGCACACCTTTAAACCAAAGCTGCACTCCTGGGGCACTCAGGGGTCTCATCCAGTGAGGTCCAGGGCCTTAGACCTGACTCGGAATCCCCAAGCACACTGGATCTCAGCAGAGCACAGCTGTATGTGCCTGTGAACCATTTCCGGTTATGTCCAGCTCATTCTGTTTTCTGTCTATAATTCAGACTACACGGTCGCTACTAGCACTACTAAAAGGGCTTAGGCTACACTTCAGTATCTGTATAGAGTTCTTACTGGGAACTCCTCTGATTCCCATTACTCTAACTGCAAGATGGTGGTGGTGGTGAGAATGGGTCAGTTAGAGTGCCAACTGTCCTCTAAGGAGGGTAAAGCACTGACTCTGTGCTAGGCTCACTATGGGAATTTGCCTCATTTGGTCCTCAGGATACCTTCTATGAGGTAGATGCTGAAACCAATTAAATTGATTCGGGGAGCTGAGGAAACTCACCCAGCGCTAGGGACAGTAAGCCATACTTTCCAAATGAACCTCAATCTGTTGGATGTCCCCACACAGGTGCCTCTGGGGCCCAGGGTCTCTGGCACACCTGCTGTTGTATAGCACTCAAATATACATGGGACATTTAGCCTGTCCTGTGACAGTGCTTTCACCATGTATTTACATTTTCTATTTATAAAACATCCTCTTTTTTAAACAAAAAAAAGAGTTTAGCTGGTGTTAATCTCTTTCTTTCAGAGAGAGCCAATGGTGGGCCCCAACTGAACTCGAGGATAGGAATAATAAACTTTCCTTTACGTAAAGAGCAGCAAACCAAAGGTTCTGATTTCTCATCTGGCACTACGTTCTCACCAAAAGTTCTGATTTCTCAGCTGGCACTTTGTTCTCATCACAGAAGCCCTCAGTAGGGCATGTGTTGAGAAGTCCCAAGATACCACAGAGGCAATCTGCTTAAAGGTTGAAGAACTTCCAGCCATTCCAGACTCTCTCCAGAAGGTGGAGCTCTGAGAGGCTTGGCCACACAAGCCCTTTAGGTTTATACAGACAGGTTCACACTAGTTTTTCAGTAGTGAACAAGTCCTCTTGAGTAAGAGCAACACCAAAGGAAAGCTACTGGCTTATGGTTAGCCTGCCAGTATCCAAGCAAGAACCAGGTACCATAATTATTCAATTATGAAAGAACAAGACACTCCTCATAGGCCAGGCAATTCAAATCTTTCATAAACATGTAAAACTGCTCTTGTAACCAGAGTAATGCTAACACTAATACAAATACCTTTCCAACTCTGTTCGAGATTCCTTAAATGTATTGAGTTAAGTAGGAAAAAAAAATCTGTGTCCAGGCATCTCTCTTACCTACCCCCAATGAGAAATCCAAAACAAAAAGCTGGTCCTTCATGGCAACTCTCTACAATATGGTTCATGGCTGGAGGCTGAAAAGCCCAGTGAGGGTCTCCACCAGCTTCTCCCAGATCTCCTGTGTGTTCACTAGCTGCTGGGTATAACATGGCACCTTGCCACCCTCCCCCCAGCACCCAACTCAGGCAGTCCAAGGGACATTGCTCCCCAGAGAGGAATCATCATCAGGTAAGAAAGGCAAGAAAAATAAGGCTTATTCTCGCCTGTACCAATACTGATGACAGAGGAAACTCCTAAATGTGAGGCAGAATTAGGGAGAAAATGGATTATCCTGTAGTGAGGTGGAGCCAGCTTCTGGTCCAAGTTCTGCCACTCAGTTACTTGGAGAAAGACTCCAAGTCCCTGGCTCCCTTTGGATTCCAGTTTTCTGGTCTGTAAAATGGAGAGGAAAGACCTGGCATAGAGCTCTACTCTGTGGGTTGTGTAACCAAATTAGTGAGTGGTAGCCAGTGGGGGAAAAAAAAATCAAGTCGGAAAAAACAGTGAGTACCATTGTATTTCACGTAGTAAGTCCTGTTTTGTGATTCTTTTCATTATGTTTAATCTCTGAATATGAACATAAGTATGGCTTCACTGTACAATATATTTCTCATATTTGGGGTTGCAGACAAAGAAATGGAGCTTTTGCTTTAGGGTCCCTTATAGGCCCTATCTCTGTGGGAAATGAAGGATCAACTTTCCAAGGATTACACAACAGATCAGCTTCCTCTCTAGTGGCCTCAGCCTGGTCAGAAGAGAGAAAAGTGCCGAAAGCACCTACTCTGTTTCACTGCCACTCTTTCTCTGTTTCACATAGTTTGAGCAGCTGGATCTCTTAAAGGTTTTTAAATATCTGGAGTCTAACGCCCAGTTTCCCAGGAATCCTAGAGTATTAATGGTTACTAAGAAGTCCATGCAATGTGTGGACCCTGAACCTATGAAGATAGAGAATAGTGTAAAATGTTGGCTTCAGATTAAGCAACTGTTTTAGCTTTCCACATTTCCTCACGTTTGTCCATGAAACTATGACCAGGTAAGGAACACAGAACATGATCATCCTAGGATAGGACACAGATTTCTCCCACAGCCCATCCCCTTAAATCTATCAAATTGGTTTAAGGATATATTGGAAACAATGCCTTAACATTAATAGTCTTAACTTTAAAATATTGCAAATAAAACAACTATGACTCATGAAAACCTCCGGGCCCTTAGTAGCTCACACATCTAGAATCTAGTCCATGAGGCTACAAATGGGATCTGCTGGGGCCACTTACTCTGCCTTAAGAAAAACCCCAGGGTTAGGAGTCACAGGGGATGGTGTGAGGCGTATTAGCCTGATGGTGGAAAAACAACCTTCACCACATGCACCTCCTCTCCATAAGCCCCAGAGCCATCGCCCACATCTGCAAACAACCATACACAACCCATGATTATACCACCAGGGTTGCTCAATGGATTCCCCAAACATTGCTAGTAGGAATGAAAATGTACAGCCACCTTGGAAAACAGTTCGGCAGTTTCTTACTAAGTTACCCATATACTTATTATGTGACCCTGTAATCCTATTCGTAGGTATTTACCTAAGAGAAATGAAAACAAATGTCCATATAAAGGCTTATACATGAATGTTCACAGCAGCACTATTCACAATAGCCAAAAGGTGGAAACAACCCAAATGTCCATCAAATGGTAATGAATAAACAAACTGTGGTATATCCATATATGGAATATTCTTCAACAAAAAAAGGAATGTATTGATATATACAACAACAAAGAGTAATCACAAAAGCATTATGTTAACTGAAAAAGTCAACTACAAAAGACTATATATGACTGCATACATCTGTCAAAACTCATCAAATTATAGACTTAAAACTGAGGAATCTTATTGTATATAAATTATATTTCAATAAAAGGGCTGAATTTTTCTTATACTTTCTCTGTTACAAAAATTTTACAGTAAGTATGTATTTTAATAATCAGAAAATACTATAATTAAAGATACTAGCTATTAAATCGTTTCTACATGCAAATGCATTGGCTGAAATTAACCTTCCCATCCATTCTAACAGGGCTCATTTGCCTTACATGGAGCATCTTGCCTAGCAAGGTACACCTGGGTCACTATCTTGTGAAGATATTCTCTGATGGTAGAGACTTTCAGGGACAGCCATGTTTTCCCTCATAAATCCCACTGCTAATCCTAAAGCCATCTGCTCACTTTGAAAGCCTAATTTTTATCAGGGTCTTTTTTTTTTTGAGTTATAGTCAGTCTACAATGTTGTGTCAATTTCTGATGTACAGCACAATTTTTCAGTCATACATGAATATACATATATTCATTTTCATATTCTTTTTCACCATGAGCTACTACAAGATCTTAAATATATTTCTCTGTGCTATATATTAGGGTCTTAATACCAGCAAACCTGTACCAGTTGCATGGCTATCTTTTTCAATTCTTGTAAAGCAAAAGCATCCTTTACATACAAATGAGCAGAACAGAAGCATACTGGTACAATAAGTCTTTCTGTAGAAAAACCAACAGCAAATGTACTCCAACTATACTGGCTTTTTTGTTTCTCAAACAAGTCCGATATACACCTCCCTCAGGGCCTCTGTCCTTGCCATTCCCTCTGCTTGGTACACTCTTCCCCAGATATCCTCTTGGCTCACTCTTTTACCTCCTTCAGCTCTTTATGCAAATATCACCTCTTTAATGAGGTCTTCCTTAGCCACCCCATC